TTGCTCCAACCTGGAACAACACTGCAGACCCTTCAGTATTTGGGGATAGGTCTCCTGCACCCCTCCCATCAGTAGTTTTCTACCACAGCAGGGCTGCTTTCTGTCCCGGTTGGTGGCACAGGACCTTAGAGGATGCTGGACAAAGTCAGTAGGAAGCACAGAAACCACAGTGTCCTTATGCACTTAAACACTCACGTACCAGAATATGTTTAACCTGACATCCTGTGTAAAGCAGCTGATGAAGTTTCAGGGGGGAAGAAACCCAGCACCACCACTGTCCCCCCCAAAAAAAACCCCAAAGAAAGAACAAAAAGCCAAACTTGTGGTACTTGGTGTTCAACAGGCTAAAGGGAGGAGGAGGGATGGTGCCTTCACCCTCCAACTGTGTTTTATAACTCTTGTCTCAACTGTACTGTGATGATTGTGATTATGATTATTACAGCTGGAAGTCTTCAGTTTTCTGAGGGTTGAATTAATGAATAATTTAAAGATGATAAAAGTGGAGTCTTTCATTGCGTTTACTATTCCCTCTCTCCAAAACAAAAGGAATCTTTGTTTTTCTAGCTACAGGGAACATATTGACTTAATTCCACTCATTAATGATAATAGTTCAAAGAATACTTAAGGAGCCTAGTCTGCAGCAGGGTAACTGTGTTTGCAGACTGACTTGATCAGAGTCATCCTGGCATCCACTGGAATCATTGGGCCAAAACCAGAGGGGAGTCCAGAGGTCTCCAACTGTGTCTGAATTGATAGAACTGTCAGGTTAAGGTGGAGTCACAAAGAGAGATAAATGGCAGCATCTGAGATCACTTAAAGGCTAATCCAAAAGCTTGTAGACTCCATAGGGTTCTTTCCATTCCCTTAAGGAGAATTGCAAGTCTCAATTCTCAGTGTTAATGTTGATTAATTTTCACATAAACCCCAATTCTGCAGCCAGACGTTCTTTTTCAGAGGAAGGGTACCGACTAGTATAAAACCCCTAATTTTTTCAGCTGTCCATGAATAATGCTTTTTCCTGAATTGCCTTCCCGTGGGTACTGTCATGAATGATCAAATAAAGAAATTAAATCTTGTGTGTAGGTTTCTGCAAAGTATCAAGCTATTTTATAAAAGAGAGATGAAGTTTCTATAAGAAAAGTATTCCTATCCATGGTGGGTATCCCATGCCTGCCGTCTAGTGAAAGATAAATACTTGTTCTTTGTGTGTACAAATGCACATATTGAAACACAAAACCATGCTCACTACTAGGTTATTCCTTCTCTGTCTATATTGATATATGAAAGAGAAAAATGCAGAGGTGGTTCAGGAGAATCTGTTTAGATACATATTCACAGATTTGTAATACACAGCATCTAAAATATAGAAACTGAAAAGAAGGACTACAAGTGTAGCACAAGAAACTTCTATAGATAAGTAAGAAGCTAAATAGAAATCAAACTGACAGTTAGATAGGACTTCTCAATCTGAAATAAAGTGAAGATGGACAGGGTTTGTCTGAGCCAGGGCAAGCAGCTGGCTGCTTGTTCGGCTTGTCCACAGGGAATGAAATGGTAGGTTGACGCCTCAAATAAATGACAGGGAAGGACAATCTACAACTCATCCTGGAAGCATCAATCTTATATATACATATTATTATGCCAAATTATATTCCTAGTAGGATTGGGTTTGGCTGAAGAACAGGTAGTAGTCTTGGAGTTTGTTACAGCATAAAAACAAGTTGAAGAGATATTCCTCTCTTAAATGAAGAAATAATCTTTGAAGCAAGTAGCTTTCCTAAGAATTAGCAAAGTGTATTGAAATTAAGATCATCCTTGCAAAAGTTAAGCTTTTCTCAGAAGGCCTTCATTTGGTATTTTGAGAGAGACCAACACTAATGTGTTGCTCATGGGAGAGAGGAACAGTTCTGGTGTGAGGGTAATTTGCATCCATTTTTCTTCTCACTACAAGATTGTCACAGTTTTCTGCCAATAAGCTTGGTAGGTGAGAATACTGATGGTGATGCATTGGGGTTTATTCTCAACCACTGCAGATGGGATCATAAAGAAGCCTGGGGCTTCCTGTTTGTATTTATGTCTCTTACCTATTTGACCATACTGAAGGTCTGCTTTCAGAAGTACTCTTTCAGAGGACTTCTTTAAGCATTTGAGAACTTGTCCTATCTCACTTTCAATACACCTACGGTCGAGACCAAAATTACTTCTTTATTGTCAAAGATTTTCTCATAGCTGGGGTTATTTTCAGGAGTTCTTACCTCTGATCATTTAAGGAAGAGGGGTTGGCTCAATTATGTAGAGGCAGCATGTTCATGAAGTTTGTGAAGACGGAATAAATTTGCTTTATCCCTCATACTTGGTATTTGTTCTCTAGTCAGTTTGAACTTCGAGCTATTCAAAGAGCTCCAACAAACCCTTTATTAAATGTGTAACTGCGACTGGTGTTGCCTTGTGTAGCTGGGAGCCCTGTGTTGCTCAGAAGTTCTGGTCATAGCAGCCAGTCTAGAAACATTAAGTATTTGGAAGAAGGTCTTTAAGTTGTTACCATCTTATTGAGATGGATAAATATTATTAAGCATTTATTCTAACTACCTTTAATCGTTACCATTTAGAAATGATGTACTCAATTTGGCTTCCCCCTTTTCTTTACATAGAAATGATAACTTGTGTTTGTTCTATCTCTGAAGAATGAGGTTATCTTCCAGAAAAAGGTACTTTATTTGGTTGATAGATGCTTGGATTAATGACCTGGGTAGCCAAGGGAGGCAGCAGAGTGGGAGACTCACTGGGATTTCGGACAAGGCATGGGTCTTTCATGGTTGCTGAACTGCTCATCTCCCTAACATGAGGCTGTCATCTCCTGCCACTGCGTGACAGATCTTGACTTACGTGGGAAAACTTCATGTTTTGTAATTACAACTTGGAGTCTTCCTGCTGGCGTGGCCCCAGGGAGGCTTGTGAGCTTCACTTCCTCAGTGAAAATTCCCCTCCCCGCTCCCCAAATACAGTTTTCCTCTTTCTGTTATCCACTTCAGTTTTCACACTGTAACAGAACAGGTTTCTTCTCGTCTTGCTGGCCAGGATGGGCTGGAAAGGCCTCAGATGATTGCTGAACCCTTTAGGGTAGCCCGGGTTGTGCAGAAGGGCTTTGCTGCTTAGCTTCAGTCAGGATTTACAGCTGGAAAGGAGGAAGAAGACTGGTTTGAAACCTAAATTGATATGTTTAGCACTGTTACGGAATACTTGAGTCCATTTTTCTAACTGCTTTTTTCTGCTTTCCTCCCGATCAATGGTGAGGTGTTTTATGTTTATGGCTTTTACTGCTTCCAAGTGGTCAAAATCAATGCAATCCGGTTTATAATCATGGAATCCCAGACTGGTTTGAGTTGGAAGAGACCTTAAAACTCATGCAGTTCCAACCCCCTGCCACGGGCAGGGACACCTTCCACTAGAGCAGGTTGCTCCAAGCCCCTGTATCCAACTTGGCCTTGAACATTGCCAGGGATGGGGCAGCCACAGCTTCTCTGGGCACCCTGTGCCAGCGCCTCAGCACCCTCACAGGGAAGAACTTCCTAATACCAAACAAAAATCTCCCCTCTGGCAGGTTAAAGCCATCCAGTTTAAAGCCATAATGTCTACCTTCTGCTTGCCTTTTCCCTCCCTTTCTTCTTCCTTTTCTCTTCCTGCCCTTGTCACTATAATCAGAATGAATCTTTTGTTCCAGTAAAATCCTTTAATAGCTAAATATGAAACCAAATCTGAAACTGGCTAATTTATGCTCCATAATCTGGGGGGAAATGGTCTTCAGAGAACATACAGATCAGATGGGTTGCTGTTACTAGTTGTCTTAGCAGATCCCTGTGAAGTCTGTGCAAGTCTGAAGGCATTTGCCATATGCCAACTGCTGTGATTTTTTCCCAATTCATAAGCATCTGGGATTTTCCACCACTATGTTGAAAGAGAGGAGGTTTAAATGCATGACCTGAATGTGGAGTTGGAAATAGTTGTTAATCTCTTCTAATATGGTATTCCCATAATCAAACACATGTGAGGTTGAGAGTATTGGGTTTTTTTATTAAATTGTTAATAATATTAAATTGTCCATTGGAAACTGAATCATACTACAGATATTTCCCTTACTGAGGCTGTCTTGTATTTCAAGTTTGAAGGAACAGTGTATTTACTAAAGTCATATTGCCTTCTTGCAGATGCCATCCCACCGAGCTATTACAGCCTTTACTTCCGAATAGTCAGATTCGACGTCTCGGCGATGGAGAAGAATGCCTCCAACTTGGTGAAGGCTGAGTTCAGAGTCTTCCGCCTGCAGAACTCAAAGGCGCGGGTCTCGGAGCAGAGGATAGAGCTGTACCAGGTAGGTTGGCACCTCGCACAAGTCAGCTCCCTGTCTTTATTTAGCAAACCCACCCTGTACCCATCTAGCAGGTGGAACAAAGCATGGGGAGAAGCAGCTGAGTTCCATCTTTCCAAAGTAGCCTCTTATTTCATAGAATCACAGAATGGTTTGGGTTGGAAGGGACCTTAAGATCATCCAGTTCCAACTCCCTGCCATAGGCAGGGACACCTTCCACTAGACCAAGTTGCTCCAAGCCCCGTCCAGTCTGGCCTTGAGCACTGCCAGGGATGGTTCAATTTCCTATGCTTTTCCTAGAAAGGGCTTTATTCAAAGTCATGTGAAGCTGAAATGTGCATTTTCTTGCAATTGGGCCTCAGGACTCCATAATTTCATGATGTAATGATAAAGGACAGAACAGTACATCAAATAAATCATACCCAGGGTCTCTGTCTCCCAGCAGCTGGCTTGTGCTGTAGTTTAAATACAAGTCAAATTCCTCTCTCTGGCCTGTATTCAGGAGAAGCCTGTTAACCGTTCCTCATAGAAATGGCATTGTTAATAATCGAGTTTCAAGGCTTAGGAGTTTTAGACCTGGCTTCTGTATAATAACCCAGGGGTTGAGGCAAGCATGAACAATGAATGGATTGAGGCGTGAGGAAGAAAATGACCCCGTGACTTTCTCACTCCTGTTGATAAGACTGATGTCATTTAATCTTTAAGGACTTTAATGGCTTTAAAGGCACTTACAGAGAGTCTGTGTGGTTTTGCATATATTGCCTAGAGCATATTTCATCTAAAGCATAATTCGCTTCGCTGAGAAGCACAACAACCAAAAGGGGCTCAGCTCCCAGCAGTTTTATATGGAGTAAAACTTATGGTTGTTCCAGCAACGTGGGACTTGTTCAACACCCCAGGCTGTTCCAGAAACCCCTTCCAGATAGGATACCACCTTGTTAAAGTGCACTGTGCCCCTCCTTTGCTGTGTTCTTGCTGCCCTCATTAACAATGCCTGAGCACTGTCCTGGATTTGAGTGTAGAGTGAAGTTCAGATCAAGTGGGTGCAAATTTGAGTTAGTCTTCTCCCTCACTCTCAATGTTCACCTTTTCCTGCCTGGTCTGGTCAAGTGCAAGCCAGACTTGGTGCAGAGAGGGGGGAATTTGGTTTCACATGCTTGCTGAAGTGATGGTATAAGCCAGTCTTAGAGGCTGACAGCAGGAAAAGTCTGGTTAGATACTGTTTAAACATAGGAGAAGTGTGATTCCCAGCTGAATGTTGTTCAGGTCCACAGGTGGTTACTGGGCGCTTGGCTTCATGGCTGTGACCTGGCTGCCTTCCTTCCCAAGAGCAGGCTGGCAGAAAAGTTGCATAAATAACATGTAATTTGTTGAAAGAGAGAGCTAAGGATCTTTAATGACAGTCACTGCTGTCATCCATATGTAAGAGTCCCTGTGACACTGCCACACCAGCCTCTTGAAACAATTGTGTGTTCTGGCTTGACCTCACTGTTCAGACATCCTAAAAGGAGCTGATGGTATCTCCGGGCTTTCTGTTGCTCTGCTTTTGAGAGCTGTTAACCAGGAGTGCAGCTGCGGTTGCCTGGGCTCGGTTCATCGCCTTTCTGTGTTTGAGGAACATGGGACGCAAAGGGTTCAGCGGAGGTAGGGAGGAAAGGGCCTTTGCTTGGCTGGGATTTCACATTGTGATGGGAAACAGCTGGAGTTTATTTGCGAGAGCCTGACTCCAGCAAGCCTATGCCCATGGAAGTGACTGACACCTGCATCCAGGGCAGGTACTCGGGTCCTTTGGATAAATATATAGCTGGTGAATAAAGCAGTTTCTTTTTTAGGCTGGGTGGGGTATGCTGAGTGAAGTGTTAGGTGAGTAATGAGTGCAGGTTATTGTAGGATTAGCTCTTTTCTCCACCAAGCAACAGGCAAGCCAAAGGCAGTGAGTTCTCAGTGTGTTTTTGTGCCAGGCATCTTTTAGACATGTTACTTTGCTGTACAGAGGCAGGCTGTTCCTGGAGCATTTCCCTGCTAGAGCACCTATTAGAATGATAAAAGCTGCCTGTTAGTTCCTCTCTCTGCTTTACTTCTTACAAGCTCCTGTAGCTGCCTTCTGGTGGTTATTTCTCTCCCTGCTCTTAGGTATGTTTATTTCTTGCAGTCTTGTATGCAGCTTTCCCCAAAACCTTGTACAGAGGTATTTCAGCTCAGTGGTGGCCAGTCTGAACTGCATGGGTTCATTGCCAGCAGCTCTACTGCAGGAGCATCTAATCCCTAAATACTGAGTCCCTAAATACTGCTGCATCTAATCTCCATCGCAACATGTGAGTTTGGCATGCAGTATTTAACAGGAAAAGCAAAAGCAGGGAGAAATTGGGGAGGAAGGACCCATGGTCCTTATGGTTCCCTTCCAACTTGAGGTATTCTATGATGTACGGCAGTGCTATAGAAAGAATCTTAAAACTTAGTATGTGAATTTTAGGGATTAGAAAGAAGAAAATGTAAGGAGCTGAAGGATGGGTAGGAGGCATTGGTGCCATAGTAATGCTAGTTTAGTAAATGCTAGTTTAGTTTAGCTAGCATAGTAAAGCTTCAGAACTGTGTAATGATATATTTATAGTGCAGATAAGGGTGTCTAGCAGTGGAAAAAGGTACAAATGGTGGTAAAAGGGGAGAGTGAGGAAGATGCTCATTTCGGTGGAAGTGGGAGAGGCAAGTGCGTTCAGTAAGGGTTGAAGACTTACTTAGGTATTTTTGCTTTCAGCATAAAAAGCCATGCACGGCGAGTGAGCCTTGCAGAGGAGATTACTAGTGGACTTGGCAAGTTCATCCACCACTCCTCCGTGCATAAGCACTACATCCTGTCTTGTGAGATAGGTGCAGGGCTTGCCAGGGCTGTTGTGCCCAGAAGGAACAATGTGGGGTTTTGTCTTGCTTAAGCAACGTTTAATTATTAGGGTGTTTTTCAAGTTTCGGGTTGCCTGGTGTTTTGCTTTGAGGAGATCTTCTTGATGAGGGATTTTGAAATTCCTCTCACCTGCAGTTTCGGAGGATGGTTGTTCCCCTGTCCCCTCATCTTTCTTAACCAAGCAGGAAGAGAGGGACAGAAGCATTCTTTTTGTGGTTCACTAGAAAAGTGACCATACCTGAACACATGCAAGTCTCCTAACTGCTCTCTAAGAGCACTCTGATTTAGTCCTGTGGCAGTTAATAGTGGTATATATACCACTGGTGCAGAAGGGACAATATTATTCTGAAGGACTATTCTAGGAACAGCCAGAGACAGATGTGCAGGGTAAATGGAAAAAATAAGCAAGCAGAACATAAATATTTTGTTTCTCCTCCTGATTCTTTCTTTGTGTGGTCCTCTGGCCCTACGGAGCTACCCCTTAAAGTAAAAAAAGAACTGCAAGACTGCACCTTTTCAGCTAAGCTTTCCTCAGGCTATACTTGGCTCCCTCTTCCAAACCACATCAGAAAAGGACTTTGTGTTTTCCTACAGCCCTTGTTTGCACTGACTCCGGGAAAGCAGTCTGGGGCTGCTTGGCTTGGTGAGCTAGGACCATGGCCCCTCGCTCCATCCCCCAGCGCAGCAGCAGCAGGACCCTGTTCCCACCTCAGAGGCAGGATTGGAGCAGGGAGCACCCATCATATTCATGCTGGGAGTGAGTGGCTATGGATCTGTTTGCCAGGTCATGCTGCCCCCCAGGTTTCTCCAGGCAATGAGTCCTGGAGATTAATTCTCATGGAGGTGCCCTGGATGAGTCTGTCACCAGTGGCCAAGTGGTAATATCTGAGAGCAGAAACAGTTGCTTTAATGTCTGTTTTCACCCAGAACGCTTCTCCTGGTGTTCAAGGATTCCCGTGCAGATGGGAAGCACAGTGCACATATTAAGTAGTCTTAGGATGGAAAATAATATATCTCATAGAAGTAGGAATTAAGTTTCTTCTGTAAGGCTGATAAAAAGCTTCTGTCTCTTCTTGGCTGTGGATAAGTGAAGCCACAAAGACTTAAATTCTTCAAAGGCACTATCTTTTCTGTTGTTTCTTCTGCCTGAAAGCGAGGGTTAATCTGCTGCTGGTGCTGCTGATCATCAGCACATTGGAGAGTGGGAAGCCGGAGGGAAGGAAGGAAGGAAGCAATGCTGTGAGTGCTCTCCCACATTACTCCTCCCATCCTTCCACTGCGCCAGGTTCACTCGGTGAGCTTCCCAGTGTGCACTGAGACTTCAGAAAATATGAAGAGGATAAGCTATTTTTTGGGGAAGGGAGGAGGAATAATGTTAAATAAACAAGTTTTAGCATCCTCCGTTGGCCTTTGCTATGTTTTTAAAGATTTATGCCAAATGCAGGCTTTATTGGAATTTGATCGGATAAAGCTCAGTTGTTATGGGAATGTCTTTGTTCATCAGTTTTCTTGCCTGCTTTGAAGGCTTTGTCACATGTTTCTTTTATTAAGGTGGTTCTCTATTTATGAATAAAGTCCCTGCACCCTTCAAAAAATAAAAGCTTGTCTGTTATGAATAAACATCACAAAAAAATGTTTGAGGCACCACTGGATGAGTGGAAACCCTCACAGGGCAAAAAGCCATCGTTCAGAGAGCATTGTGGTATTGCTTTTAAGGTACTTTTATTATGTACAGACGGTCAAGCAGTAACAAGTAAGAATTACTTCTTACAGAAGCGGTGCCATGTTTTGTTAACACATCATAAAGGATCATGAGAAGTGCTGGTTTTGATCATCATTGTTATCAGAGGATGCTGTGGGTGCGGGTACCCGAGAGGCTGCAGGTCAGAGGGATGTATCATAGAACATAGTGGAGGGCAGTGTTGGAGCAAGCAACCGGTGCCAGGTTGAAGCCTGGGGACACATCGGATTGTGATGAGGAATTTGGAGCAAGCAGGAGCAGAGCTTTGGTCTTTCTATGTTGGGAAGGGGCCTGATCCATGCTGTGAGGGCTCCTGTGGAGCTTGCTCAGGGTCTAGGAAGGACCGTCCACTCTCCAGACAGT